AGCCTGGAGGTCGGCTAACGGCGGCGACAAGAGTCGAAAACGAAAGGCGTTCGAAACTGAAATCGAAGGGAGTGATCCCGTTATCCTGGTGGCTGGCGCGGGCGCTACACTGGCCGAGATGGAAAGCTCCCGTTAACGATTAACGTCATGCACTGCAATCATGCTTCAATGAGTCACGATGCACTCCCAGTATACATCCCTACGTTTGCGCTATGCACAATGGCGGTGCTGGTGACGCAATTGATGCTCTTGAACTTCTGTTCTTACGTAGTAGTAGTGACAATAATGAACAAGCGAAGTATGAATAAAATACGTCGTAACGATTGCGAAAACGACTACAGTTTTTTTCAGGAATACATTTAAGCGCACCAAGGATTAATTGTCTTCTTGGAGGAACTCAGCTATAGGACATATATAGGTGGTACCACAAATATTATGACAGACATGAAATATCTGCTTGAATTAGTCCAGGAACTCACACGATCGGACAGAAACCATTCTTATCTGTGCGTTCTTTATCCAGTCACTCCCTACTACACCGATAAGGATGGCGATTTACCTGCCTGGAGAGAATCCTTCTCTTCGTTCGTCGGTACACAATTTTTGCCCGAGAAATATTTCTCGGTTATCTGTACACAACTAACATAAGAAAATCATGGCTAAAGATAGTTCTCAAAACTCCAAAAATGATTATTAAACACTACGCAGAAACGTGTTTATCTGACACAGATGTCTTTTTCTTTACAGCGAACACGTCACTTGTATCATAGAGCGTGTGTTATGGCAACCTACTTCGCGCTAACGGTATGCCGCCGCCGCTCCTGACCAAAACAAACTGTCAGGCTTAATAATGATTCTGCTAATTACTTCTTTCTATTTACTTATGGTCTCTAACATGTTTTATTTGGAACAAATATTATATTTTTATGTTATGATTTGCTCGTGGGTCATTGGCAATATTGTGTTCGTAAGCAGCGCTTACAAAACATCGTAAATACTACGTGAAATATTGATCTTGTGATGATCACAGGAATTTGTAAGATTACGTACCTACTTAACTTTCTTGGCAATTTAATACTTGTCGAGTTCTTAGGTTCTCGCGAATCATTGGAAATGAAGCCTTTTTTTCGGAACTAACTTACGTACCTATATCTGTTTTGTTTCAAAGAAACCAACGTTTCAGGCCCTTCGCAGATCCCATTTGAGTCAGTCGGACTATGGGACCTTTAAAGGTTTTAAAACCTTTGTTTGCTGGAAAAAACAAATATACGCGATTTAGATCCGAAAACATAGTTTCATGGTAGCAGTAGAGCTCCTTGTGAAAGAGTTCGTACAGGGAAGTACTGCCATTTTACCTGTTTCAGTCGCCAAGCAGTAATGAGCTTGATTAAAATGTCAAAGGACAACGGAAATTTATAGCAGCGTCCTGCAACTCATATATTTTAAACACAACAAAATAATATGTATTTTAGATATTGATTATTTTGTTATGTGCCAGATGTTATATACGTTCCTCATATAGTAATCTTTTTTTTGGTGGTGCAAAAGAGAACAGTGATATAATACTTAGTTTGTTGTAGCAGTAGAGTTCCTTGTGAAAGAGTTCATCCAGGGAAGTACTGCCACTTTACCTATTTTAGCCGCCAAACAGTAATGTGAGCGTTACTGCTTTCCGATTTCTAAGGGTAAGGGTGCTGGTGAAATTACAGGCACATGGGAGTTGTCAATTTATGTCTCAGGATAATGAGCACAGTGGCTGTGCCCCTGAGATCTTTGCGGTTAAAAGCTCTGAGTTGCACTGCAACTGTTATGGACAGAGAGGCGCACGACTTGTTCGTCCCGTCACTCGTTTGGTATTATAAAAAGGTTTCATAGGTTACTGCGGAGGTAGGATTGACAAATATATTTTAATATAAGTAATTATGAAACATCTTCTAAAAGTGAAGAAAAAAACATTTAAAAGCCTCACTTGTTTGTGATCGATTAAAGAATGATGTAATTGGAGCTCGTGTCAGCGTGCCACTTAGAACTAACGGTACCGCGTTCATGACCAAAACAAACTTCGGAGTTTGTGCATTCTCATAATTACGATATGTATGTGATAAATTAAATCAAGGTCGCAATAGGTTGTTTTAAAAGTCATTGTTTTAAAATATTAGACTCGTTTTTATATCATTTCGTCGGGCGCACTACCAGTTTCCGGAATGAATAAGAAAAAATACTATAAATGGTCAGAAATGAATTTATTGTTTATCAAAATATTCTCCGTTAGCGTTAATGCACTTTTTCATACGAATGAAACAATTTTGAAAAAATTTATGCCACTCCTCCGTGACAATCTCTGAAACATATTTTTCATACTCTTTGACAACCTCTTCAGGTGATGAAAATCGTTGACCGCGTAATTAGTTCTTAATTTTTAGAAATAAATAAAAGTCACAAGGTGCCATATCGGGACTGTACTACTGATGATACGGCGTTTACGGTTATTTTTACGGAGTTTGTCAATAACTTTCGGCAAATAAATGGTCGTATACCAATCACTATTCACGGTACAACGATTCTCCAAAGCAACAGTAGTCACGTGTCCAGTTTTATTAAAAAAAGAATCAATCATCCATTTAGAGGCACTTTGCACGCGCACCACTTTGGTTGGTTTCGGCTCATCTTGAAAGACCCATACGCTCGATTGCTGCCTTGTTTTGGGATCGCAACTGTAAATCCATGTTTCGTCACCTGTTAATAGTAACATGTGGGACATAGGTCCCACACCAAATTTGACGCCCCTTCGTTGAATCTGGTAAGCATGGCATTGCACCAAGTTACGCGATCCGTTTTTTGAGCCTCAGTCAAATTGTGTGGGATCCACCGAGAGCATAGCTTTTTCACACTCAAATGTTTGTGTAGTATTGATTGTATTTGACTCATGCCTATGCCCAAAGATAAAGATGGTACGTCACATGCCTGTCTGTTTTGATCATACGGCGCACAGCATCGATGTTTTTGTTGTTCACAACAGTAGACGGGCGACCATCACGAAATTCGACACTGAGATTCACACGACCGCGTTTGAATTCTGCAAACCAGCTATAAATAGTCGTCTTGCATGGTGCTTCACCGCCAAAAGCAGTTTGAAGCCGAGCGAAGCTCCTCTGAGCTGTTAAATTACACTTAAAGTCGTAGAAAATCATACTACGAAAATTTTCACGAGTTAAATCCATGGTGATGTAGACAACCCATTTCTAAAATGGAGCCACAATGTAAAAACAAGTGAAAGTCAGATGAAAAAAACTGTATTCTACAGCCAAAGAGTTCCACTTTCAAATGTTGTAATTACTTTTTAAAATTGTTTATGTAAGTGGCCAGTTCCGGAAACTTATAGTGCGCCCTATGTAACGTTTTGATTAGGTTTTTTGTAGCTGTAGATCTCCTTGTGAAAGAGTTCGTCCAAGAAGTACAAGGCAGAAAGTTTAGGAAGCGGAAGCGGTTCCGAAAGGTAAGGGTGCTGGTGAAATTACAGGCACATGAAATTTGTTAACAGATGTCCCAAGGTGATGGGCGCAGTGGCACTGCAAGTGTTATGTGTTCGTCCTGTCCATTGGTATCATAAAACAAGAATTAAGTGCGTGTATTTCGCAGAATCACAAATCTCTGGTATTTAAAAAAATAATATTTTCGTATTAAACTAAAACTATATGTATGATTTTGGGCAATGCAATCCAACAAATTAATGTTAGTGGCAATGTGTTACGATGATATGACATTGTTTTGTTGCCGACTGTTTTTACTAGGCACCTTGATATTTTTATTTTGTTATCAACGAATGTAGTTAGTTTACATACTTGGTTCTTGTATCTAACACAAGGTTTGACAAAGCAGAAAAACTTTATGGATTTGCTTAGTGAGTATTAGATTGGATCTGAGAACAAACAAAACTGAAATAATAAAATAGAAATTTCCACAGCGCCATCTAGGTAATACACAGAATATTAACAATTGAGTCGTTACGGCATGAGGAGCGAATAGCAAAAGCAAAGGAACACGCGTTAATTGACTTTTACGCAATGCTAATAGATGGCGCTGTTATACGTTTTTTTAAGAAATTTATATGAGGCAGTTTAGAAATAAAATCCGAACATTCTTTTTCAAATTGTATGTTTTAGGGTTTTTTTTATAATATCATTTGACAGAATAATCAAGTCGTGCGTCTGGTGGTAAAGAACACGCCTGTCCATAACTGTTGCAGTGCCACTCAGCGGTTTAAATCGGAAAGTTCTTAAGGATATTGCCACTGCGCCTGTCACCCTGAGACATGAGTTGACCAGTACCATGTGTCTGTAATTTCACCAGCACCCTTACCCTTCAAAACCGCAGTAATGCTCACATTACTACTTGGCGGAAGAAATAGGCAGGTAAGATTAAGGCAGTACTACCCTGATTGAACTCTTTTACATGGAGCTCTACTGCTACTACAAAATAAGTACATATAACTGTTCTACTCCCTTTTTAGTAGTTAGTACCCCCAAACAAAGATAGTATATGAGGAAAGTATATGACATCTGCCACACAACAAAATAAGAAATATCTGCTAAATATGTTATTTTGTTGTTGTGTTTAAAAAATATAAGTTGTAGGACGTTGCTATAAATTTACGTCGTACTTTTGGCGACTTGACATTTTATTAACATATTATCTACCATACCTACCTTCAAAAAGACTGCCTTATAGGCACATTGCCTAAAATTTATCAATGGTCTCACCTGTTACTAGCAATATTTGTTGTAGTTTCTGTATTTTATACACCATACTTTTACAAGCATATACCATTCTATACTCAGTTTCAATTTTAAAATGAATGTTAATTAACTAGTTCTCCTTGCTAGTTGAACTTCATCTTACAATTACAATTATATTACTATGCAGAAAATTATCTGCTATTGGACTTGGCTACTAGTAAAGGTAATAAGGAGAACTTCTAAATCACCAAACTCAGTACAGGTAAAGGATTTTATTGCAAAAAGGAAATACTTATACCCGCTTTACTCTTAGACGAAATTTTGTAACATAACAATAGATTTTTCCCTAAAGCATATATCAAACTGTAATTAATCTAATTTTAAGCGCTTCAATTATCAAATCGACTTCGCAAACTTGATAACAAGGTGTTGTCGTTTTTCTAGAAGCTACAAAGACCATTTTCGCATTTACGGCTGATTTTTCATTGACGTCATCGTACACGAAGCCTAAAGTAAACGAAAGGCCAGGAGGTATGCGCTTGCACCTCGCCAAAGACAGATTTATGTACTTGAGCTGTTCTAATTCGGGTATGAGTTTATAAAGCTTTATGTAGACTGGCTCCAAAGTAAGGTTAGTAAACTTCATGCGTTGTGTTGTCACACCGCCGCGTCTATATTGTATTCTAAATGGGTTCGGGAATGACACCAAATGGTTTTCGCAAATATAAGAAGCTGTCTTATGAATGGGACTTGAGAAATGTTTTGAAATCTCTATAAATCTCTTAATTTCATTTTGAAATCTTTCCTGCGCTTCCTCTTCCTGCTCTTGGTTGTCGAAAGAGTCCTGTCGAGATATTTCTACTTTTGATTCTTCTTTTACAGGATGCAATTGAACTACAGGACTAGGTTCTGGTACATATAACTGAGCTTTACTATTTTCTCCTTTACTAGAAATATGGGGTATAGGTTTTATTTTTTGTGTGGTGTTTTTGTGCTTGTAACTCATTTTGACGCAAGTTTATTAATTTTCTCAATACATAAAATTTCACTGCTGTGCCCTTAGGCATCCAAATGTCACGTTAACTCTTATCTATGTCCAAATGACAATGAAGGAGGATTATTCCTGTAAACCATAGACATTGGACAACGTCTATGCTGTAAACAATCCTTAAAGGATGGATTTTAATCAAACCCAAATGGCATAATAATCTTTTTTTTTTTTCCGAAAAAAGAATCGACAAGTGGCATTTTTAGTTACAGTTGAAGCACAAATTAGAAAGATATAGTAGGAAGTTGAAGCACCCATACCATAATATATTAATTCTATGTAGGTCAATGATTCCATCTTATTATTTATTTCAGGTAGGTCATGCAAGGTCCATTTTTTACTTAAAATTTATGTAAGGACCGTTTTCTACATTTTTGATAAATATTGTTCTAGAGAAAACTAAGGAATAATAGCCTAATTACAACCTTCAGAAAAGCTCACTATAATATAAATTACTTAACAGTGCGTAAGCACATTTTGAGGTCTTTTATTTACATCTAATTGCATAATAACCTGATATGCGTTTTGCCAGTAAACAGAAAACCAGTAATAAAAAGCTTGAAGGGATTATAGCCTTCACATTGATGTTTTGTTTTGCATTACGAATCTAGTCCAAGTACTACTACTAGTTGATCACATCAATTGAAAAATTGGTAATGTCATTTTTCCACGAAAAAAAAAAACAATACAACACAACAACAAAACTGTATTTATATAAATGAAACTATTTTTTCGGATTTAAATCGCGTATATTTGTTTTTTCAAACAAACCTTTTTTTTATTGACGTTTCGGGCCTTTTACAGGTCCCATGGTCACGGTTGACTGAGGTGGTACAGTCTTCAACCAGTTATGTCTAATATTAATGCAAACCACTCTATTTAGTCACTATAGTTACAATAGTTATTAATTAAATACCTTATTTTTAATCTTACAAAGAAAACATTCAAATTTACGCTACATTAAGTTTTACAAATTATTTTATTGAATGAATTTTTATTAAGTTCAATTTATTATTAATTATTAATATAAATTAGAATAAACTAAAACATATTAATTAGTACTGCAGTCTTATGTCTGTTGGTGGGATTTTTCATTAGAGGAAATACTTGATCCCAAACTGGTGGTACGGAGAAACCATCTACCCTGTTGAAATTAGGATGTTTTTTAATTTCAATGGCCTCTCGCAGCATCCTGGGTAGATAAGGGACTTCTTTTGCAAGAACCTGGGGTTTGTCAAACTTCATTGAATGTGTAGGTATATCCATGACATTCTCGCAGACTGCAGACTTGTTTACGCGACGGTGTTTGACATCAGCTATATGTTCTTTTCCAACTACTTTTGTTTCTTTCGACTGCATAACCATATTCCGCAGTTAGAAAACCTAAAAACTTCATTGTCGGATATTTTCTTAGAATTCAACCTTGTGTTATAATTATGTTTTGATTCTATATTTCTTTATTTTAGAATTTAAAACGGGTTTAATTTTACTAGAAGCAGCTATATTCAGTACATAAGAAACTTTAGAAATGAATCTCGGCACAATCAAATTAGGAAAGGAAGTTTTGGAATATACTTAGGTCTAAATTTTACAAAGATACTGTTCTTGAGGCTGAGATTTACAAAAGGAACTTTGACTTCTACGAACCGAAAATTGCGAGCTAAGCAAGTTTTTCGTATTTACAAAATGAAGTTTGCCTTATGAACTTTAAAAGTTTAAGCAAGAAATTACGAAACTCAAAGTTATATTCATTTTTGCTTAAACATAAAAAAGTAATTTTGTAAATAGAAAAAACGTACTTAACTTACCATCTTCGCCAATTTAAAATCTATAACTAATTAAGTTTATTAAAACTGATTTGTTATAATTCAACTGATTATCTTTCATTTACCATTTTCCTCGCCATAGTGAGGTGAAAAGTTGTGTTTCTCTCGGCATTAAAGTTGTTTTGAGTCTCGTGTCTTGAAACCCTCGCTACGCTCTGGATTCTATTTTTGAACCACTCGCTTTGCTCGTGCTTTAGTCTAAGCATTCATAGCTTGCTCAGCTTTCAATACAATCACTCGCGTCACACAACAACTATGCCTTGCATAACAAATAACTATTGTATGGCATAAAGGACAATAATTTTGTAAAATCAGCGGTTTTCCATAATTTCATTCATGTTTAAAAAATACAAATTTGTTTGTAACTAAAATTGTTTTATAACTTAGTGTGCAACTATGTATGCACGTTGACTTATTACTTAGCAAATCTTTATTAAAGGATAACACTAATTCTTTTATATTAAATAGCTTTGAAACTAGAGTCCCTCATACACCTGTTTTAAGGCTCGGTCATACATTTTTAGAATACTGTTTATTCCAATAAATTATTTTTGAAATCATTGACGCTAATGAGTGCCAAAATAGTTTATACTAATATATTAAAATTTCAGTAGTTTATTAAAATACTAATGATCGAACACGAATGAATACTAGAAATAAATTAATTAATTTACCAAACAGAAAGTGTTTTATTAAAATTATATTTTACCTAGGATAAAAAGATTGAATCGGGAAACAACATTATACGTAAGCGATTTGCACTCGCTAGATCAACTTTACTTTCTCTTATATGGATGGATTCCTCAATGACTGTCTGTAGGTTTAGTTAAGCTGGCCAATATTAACGAAAGTGAATTCGTCGGATCTATTCCTGAGATTTAGCGAACATCTACACCGCTTTTAATTTATAGAAGATATTATTTACGCCGTCAGCCACATATTTTTTGATTCACCATTTACCAAAACACCCAATTATCACGTATCACATACTCTCACTACGCAATCGCCTCCGATGGCCACGACTGGATCCAAGCAATTACGGTCTGACCATCTTGCCAACCGTGTCAGCTCCTCATTAAGCTTGAGTTTAACTAGTTCAACTAGGCCTGCATGAAATATACACTAAAGATCATCTACGTTAAGATAGCATTGATATTTAAGTGCTGTATAAAATAAACATAACAAGTTCTAATATCGATCCTTGTGGAAGTTATTACCATTAATTATAATATTATTACAATGAAAATAAATAAATCTAAGCAAATATGTTCTGGAAGTCAAATTATTTAACTTTGAAAATGATTGTCAAATTTAAATTTAAAGTATTTTAGAAATAAATCAACTAATTGTTAATACTTAATCATTTAAAAATTAAAAATCAATTAATAATTAATTATCTATTAATCGCCAAATTATTCTTGAATTGTATAATAATAATAATAACTACATTCGTCAATTAAATCTTCTTAATAATTGCTTTTATTTACTCCGTGACCTTATTTATTTTATTAAATTACCATAATTATAATATCATATTTTTATAACGTAGATAACATACATAGGGCACATTATAAGTTTCCGGAACTGGCCCTTAGATCTTTGCAATTTAAAGCTCTAATTTTTATTAAAATACTATTTGCATAATAGTAATTACATTTTTAGTTAAAGCACTGTAAGAGACTTAAATAAATAAATAATTTTATTATCAGTAACAATAACTGTGTAATAGCTATTAATAGATTTTTAAATAGGTCTATTAGATAAATACTTCTAATAGATTTCGTAATATGACGTGAACAATCATCATCCATATCATTCTTGGAAGAGTGGAAATCTCCACCGGAATTTAATAAAACTATTATTTATATCATAACTCACCGATTTGGTTTAACTTTATTACATCTATGGCTATCAACGTATCACCATCAATATTTCTATAAACAGTCCACTGTTTCTTTTGTGAAATGCTATAAAAAGTACAATAATGCCACAGTAGCCCCGTATGGCGGCGTTCAGGTGATTGGAAATCATAGATTATAATTAGTGAGTGAAGTTCCCAATCCGCATTAAATCCGCGCGGGAACTACAATCCTAGCCCACCCATTGTGAGAGGAGGCCTATGCCTGATAGTGGTACTATATATAGGCTTTTTTATGATACCAAGTGACGGGACGAATAATTCGTGCGCCTGGTGTTAAGCGACAAGCCTGTCTATTGCAGTTGCAGCGCCACTCAGACCTTTAACTGCCACTGCGCCCGTCACCCTGAGACATGAGTTGACAAGTTCCAAGTACTGTACCTACTGTAATTTCATCAGCCACCCTTACCCTTTAAAACCGGAACGTTCACACTACTGCTTGGTGGCAGAAATAGGTAAGGTGACAGTACTTCCCTGGAAGAACTCTTTCACAAGGAGCTCTACTGCTACTAAAAAACTACAACATTTTTCTTTCACATCTTATATATATCAGAGGCTTATAGGTGACTAGGAATTAGTAGAGGCGAAGCTGCAGAGCCTTGAACACCGCCGTAAAGTTGCCTGCTTATCGGTATTTTACAGGATATATCACGGAGAGTGTGCGATGGAATTACTCGATTTAATTCCGCCTTCCCCTTTCCGTCATCGGGGGATTAGGCGTAGGCTTGGCTGCCACCGTTATGTTGTGGATATTCCAAAGTTATGCTTCCACATTTATATGGCGATCGGCTATGGGGTGGAATCACCTGCTTGCAGACTTGTTCCCTGAACGTTATAGCTTGGACTTTTTCAAGGCGAGAGTGAATAGATATTATCTAGGTGTGCATGCTCCATCGTCGACCTCATCGTCACTTTCCATCAGGTGAGATGGAGGTCAAATGCACACTTACATTAGAACAAAAAAAAAACATCTTTGCATGAGCTATATTTGTAAGTTAGCAAGATTGCAGTCAGTTTACATTTGGCACGATACGAACGAAAGAATAAAATATTAAAGTTCATTTCAAAGACTTACAATTGTAAAGGCCAAATGAGGAATTCATAATTTCAAGTGCCAAGGCCACGGTCAAAGTGATAACGCAAGCAGATGCCTCAAATAGAAAGTAAAGTCAATGAAATCGTAAAGAAAATGAGTCTGTAGTTCTTCTTAAATGAGTCTGTAAATCTTAAAGCACAAGGTTACTGAATTGCAAAAAATA